TGGAGCATAGTGGCGTGATCTCGGCTCACTGCAACCTCTGCCTCCTGGGTTCAAGTGATTCTCCTGCCTCAGCCTCCCGAGTAGCTGGGACTATAGGCGTATGCCACCATGCCCAGCTAATTTTTGTATTTTTAGTAGAGATGGGGTTTCACCATGTTGGCCAGGGTGGTCTCGATCTCTTGACCTCGTGATCCACCCGCCTCAGCCTCCCAAAGTGCCGGGATTACAGGAATGAGCCACCGTGCCCAGTCTTTTTTTTTTTTTTTTTTTTGAAATGGAGTCTTGCTCTTTCACCCAGGCTTGAGGACAGTGGGACGGTCTCAGCTCACAGCAACCTCCGCCTGCCAGGTTCAAACAATTCTTCTGCCTCAGTCCCCTAAATAGCTGGGACTACAGGCATGTACCACCACATCTGGCTAATTTTTGTATTTTTAGTAGAGATGAGGTTTCACCATATTGGCCAGGCTGGTCTCGAACTCCTGACCTTGTGGTCCGCCCTCCTCAGCCTCCCAAAGTGCTGAGATTACAGGCGTGAGCCACTACACCTGGCCCTGGATGCTCTTTTCTATGGTAAATACTTTTTGATGTTCTCAAAATCAAAAGCAGGCTTCTACTGAATCAATGAAATGTGGGGACTAGACACCAACTAGTCCACTCCCTTATTTTACAGAGAAGAAAATGGAGGCTAATGTTGATAAAGTGGTTCACCATAGTTGAAATCAAAGTGAAGACTATGTGATAAAGAATTATGCTCTGTTGCTTCCTAGACCTCAAACCATTATGTGCCTGTTGGTTATTATGAAGCAGCCAACAATATTGTGCTTAGCTTATTACACAAGTTTCCTTCTTTATTCAGATAGTTCCCTCTGAAGAAAAGAAAGCCCTTGGATTTGTTGTGATTTGCTTTGAGGGATTATAAGCTTTTATATTAAGTATTTTGTGATAATTAAAACTTTGAAACTTTTAAACATTATTTGGGGGAATACAAAAAATGGAGTAAAACTTTCTGAGAAGAAAATTTTCTGTTCTATAATTCAACAAGACATTTAGCTTGCAGAAAAAGGGGATATTAAAATGCCTTTATTTGGATTTAAGAATTATAACAGGATTTCCTTTGTGAGAGGAAAAAACACAAGGGCAAATTTTGTGGACTTGAAGGATTTTATATTTGTAATTAAGTGATAGTTTATTAGCACAGTGGTAATTAAGTTTCCTCTGACACATTGTACTTTATTCTCATATAACACCATTCATCTAAAGACTATAGATGAATTTTAATCTTGTCTATAATTTTCACAGAATCCATTCATTTATTTCCTTCCTTCCTTTCTTTCTTTTTTCTTTTTTTTTTTTTTTTTTTTTTTTTTTTTTTTTTAGTGCAGTGGTGTAATCTCAGCTCACCGCAACCTCTGCCTCCAGGTTCAAGCAATTCTCCTGCCTCAGCCTCCAAGTAGCTGGGATTAAAAGCATGTGCCATGGCACCCGGCTAATTTTTGTATTTTTAGTAGAGATGGGGTTTTACCACATTGGCTGGGCTAATTTCGAACTCCTAACCTCAAGTGATCTGCCTGCCTTGGCCTCCCAAAGTGCTGGGATTATAGGTGTGAGCCACCACACCCAGCCAATCCATTTTCATTTATCCCTCATTTTTTCAGATAAGCAAATATAAATTTCAAAAATAAGATACTCTCAAATGCCCTGAATTGCCTGTCCCTTTTTTCAGCAAATTCAAGTCTGAATATAGCTTATAAATGTTATCTATTCAACGTCATCCTCATCTGTAACAGCAGCGATGACACCATTATGCTAGCTTCCAGGTCAGGGTCTATCAGACTCTGCTTCTCTAAACCAAATAAGTTGAGGTCACCTGGTGCTAAAGCAATCACTCATTCTCCTCTCAGGCTCTCTTGCCACTCATCTAGCTCCTGCCCGTTAAGTCAGCAACCAGTGTCTTTTCTTTTTTTTTTTTTTTTTTTAAGAGATGGAGTCTTACTCTGTCTCCCAGACTGGAGTGCAGTGGCTCAATCATAGCTCACTGCAGCCTCGAACTCCTGGGCTAAAGAGATCCTCTGGCCTCAGCCTCCCAAGTAGCTGGTAATACAGGTACATGCCACCATGGCCAACTACACCGGCCAGTTTTGATTCAGCTGCCTCTGCTTTGCCTTTGAGCCTCCCGGAGGACCTGTGCTTAACCACTCCTCTTTCTTCCTCAGCTTCAGTCTACCTCAGGCAGTAAAACTGGCTTAAGAAGCCATGTAGCCAGTGCTGATCCTGTCCTGGCCCAGAGAGAGGGAGACTTGGACACCTATTACTGCCCTATCCTGACCCTTGTCTAGGTATAAAGGGACAAAGAAGGAAACAAGTCAAAGGCTTGCTCTAAGTCCCTAGATAGAGTGCCTAAACAGCAAGCATTAGGGTCTGAATTGGAAATTTATGACCTTCAAAATAGAGGGGATGATAAATATTATGAATGAAGGCTTGTTGAAAACAGAGGTAATGGCCAGGCACAATGGCTCATGTCTGTGATCCCAGCACTTTGGGAGGCCAAGGCCAGAGAGGACTGCTTCAGCCCAAGAGTTCAAGGTTGCAGCAAGCTATGATGAGGCTATGTATTCCATCCTGGGTGACAGGAAGGAAGGGAGGGAGGGAGGGAGGGAGGGAAAGGAAAGGAAGGAAAGGGAAAGAAAGAAGGAATGAAGGAAAGAGAGAGAGAAAGAAAAAGAGAGGAAGGAGGGAGGGAAGGGAAGAGGAAGGGAGGGAGGGAGAGAAGGGGAGGGAGGGAGAGAAGGGGAGGGAGGGAGGGAAGGGGAAGGAAGGAAGGAAGGGAGGGAGGGAAGGGAAAGGAAGGAAAGGGAAAGAAAGAGAAAGAAAGAAAGAAAAAGGAAGGAGGGAGGGAGAGAAGGTGAAGGAAGGAAAGGAAGGAAGGAGAGAGGGGAGGGAGGGAAAGGAAGGGAAAGAAAGAAGGAGAGAAAGAGGAGGGAGGGAAAAGAAGGGAAGGGAAAAAAGAGAAAGAAAGGAGGGAGGGAAAGGAAGGGAAGGGAAGAGAAAGAAAGAAAAAAAGAGAGAGAGAAAGAAAGAAAGAGAGGAGGGAGGGAAGGGAAGGGAAAGGAAGGAAGGAGGGAGGGAGGAAAGAAATAAAGAAAGAGAGAGGAAGGAAAGAGGGAGGAAGGAAGAAAAGAGAGAGGAAGGAAGGAAGGAAAGAAGGAAGGAAGGAAGGCAGGGAGGAAGGGAGGAAGGAAGAAAGAAAAGTAGAAGCGTAACTGGAAGTGATGATGGTTGTTTGCAGCATTGCTGCTCAAAGTGTGGCCCAGCAGCATCAGTATCAACTGAGAGCTACTTAGAAATTTGGCATTTCAGGCTGTGAGCAGTGGCTTATGCCTGTAGTCCCAGTGCTTTGGGAGGCCGAGGCAGACAGATCACTTGAAGTCAGCAGTTCGAGATCAACCTGGGCAACATAGCGAAACCCCGTCTCTACCAAAAATACAAAAATTAGCCAGGTGTGGTGGCAGGTGCCTGTAGTCCCAGCTACTCAGGAGTCTGAGGCAGGAGAATCACTTGAGCCTGGGAGGCAGAGGTGCAGTGAGCTGAGATCTCACCACTGCACTCCAGCCTGGGTGACAGGGCAAGACTCTTGTCTCAAAAAAAAAAAAAAAAAAAAAAAGAGAGGCATTTCAGGCTCCCTCCTAGACCTAATGAATCCAAATCTACATTGTAATAAGACCCCTCAGGTGATTTTTCTTGGCGCTGTCTGTATTAGACTAGTAGGACCGCTATAACAAAATTCCACAAACTTAAGTGGCTTAAACAACAGAAATTTATTTTCCTGAAATTCTGAGGCCCCTCTCCTTGCCTTGCAGATGGCTGCTTTCTTTTTTTTTTCTCTTTGTTTTTGAGACAAGGCCTCACTTCCATGCCCAGGCTGGAGTGCAATGATGTGATTTCAGCTCACTGCAGCCTTGAATTCCCAGACTCAGGTGATCTTCCCACCTCCACTTCTGGGGTAGTTGGGACCACAGGCATGCACCACCATGCCCATCTAAGTTTTTGTACTTTTTGTAGAGACAGGGTTTCACCATGTTGCCCAGGCTGGTCTTGAACTCCTGGGCTTCAAATGATCAACCCACCTCAGCCTCCCAAAGTGCTGGGGGCTCCAGGTGTGAGCCTCTGTGCCTTGCTAAGATGGCTGCTTTCTTGTTGTGTCCTCACATGGCCCTTTCTCTGTATGTGCATCCCTAATGTCTCTCTGTATGTCCTAATCTCCTCTTCATATGAGATCATCAGTCAGCTTACATTAGGGCCCCCTAACCATTTCATTTTCACTTCATCACCTCTTTAAAGGTCCTACGTCCAAATACAGTCACTTTCTGAGGTACTGAGGGATAGACTTCAAAATATGCTATGTCAGTGGGGATATAATTCTGCCCATAACACTGTCTAAAGCAAGTCTGATTGATCTGTCCTTTCCTTTGAAAGTCCCCAGCATGACCAGGGCCTCAGAGACAGACTTGGGCTGCCCAAAATACACAGGAGCCAAATGCCAAATGCTAATCCAGTCATCAACAGAGAGACATCACTGTCATAGGACTGATGCACTTGAAAGCTGCTGCCCTCATTTCTCTTTCTTTCTGTTGACTTACCTAGGAGGCTAGATCCTCCTCAGGTCACCAAGTAAACCTGGCATGTTTATACCTTCTTAATGACACTGTATTTCTCTAGATAGCTTAATGTAATCTAAAAGCAACCCTATGTCTCTCATTTTCTCAGGTTGGGGCACATCTGGTAACCCCAAACAATGTGATATAACCACCCACCACTCACATGATCTTTTTGTTTTTGTTTTGAGACGGAGTCTCGCTTTGTTGCCTAGGCTAGTGCAGTAGCATGATCTTGGTTCACTGCAATCTCCACACCCTTGATTCAAGCAATTCTTCTGCCTCAGCCTCCCTAGTAGCTGGGATTACAGGTGTGTGCCACTATGCCTGGCTAATTTTTGTATTTTTAGTAGAGATGGAGTTTCACCATGTTGGCCAGGCTGGTCTTGAACTCCTGGCCTCAGGTGATCTGCCCACCTCGGCTTCCCAAAGTGCTGGGATTATAGGCATGAGCCACAGCATCTGGCCATTTTGTTTGTTTGTTTTGAGATGGAGTCTCACTCTGTCACTCAAGCTGGAGTGCAATGGCACAATCTTGGCTCACTGCAACCTCCGCCTCCCAGGTTCAAGTGATTCTCCTGCTTCAGCCTCCCTCGTAGCTGGGATTACAGGTACATGCCGCCATGCTCAGCATGGGTGGCATTTCGCCATGTTGGTCAGGCTGGTCTTGAACTCCTGACCTCAGGTGATCCACCCGTCTTGGCCCTCCAAAGTGCCAGGATTACAGGCGTGACCCAATGCATGAAGTACTAGTTCAGAGTTAAGAATTGATTCTCTGGGAGGAAGAGCGGGAAAGTTCTGATTTGTAACATTTGCAGGGGTAAATACTTCCACCATCACCAAACTTGCCATGTCACTGAGTGAATTGGGAGATGTGCAGTTACTGGGCGCCATTATATAGAATTTCTACCATACAGATGTAGTAGATATAAATAACCTCAAAACATAGATCACAGTGAATTGTAGCAAAAATAAGAAGTGGTAAGTTTTGGTTGTTTTTGCCTTTTTTCTTAATATAATTTCATTTTCCACATATATAAGTTGATTTTTTGTTTTATTTTTGAGACAAGGTCTGGCTCTGTCTCCCAGGCTGGAGTGCAGTGGCACAATCTCAGCCCAGGCTCAAGCAATCCTCCCACCTCAGCCTCCTCAGTAGCTGGGACTACAGGCGAGCACCACTATGCCTGGCTAATTTTTGTATTTTTTGTAGAGATGGGTTTTTGCCATGTTGCCCAGGCTGGTCTTGAACTCCTGGGCTGAAACAATCTGCCAGCCTCAGCCTCCCAAAGTTCTGGGATGAGCCACTGTACCTGGCCACATAAGTTAATTCTTTTTTAAATTTTAATTTTCATGTATTTATTTTTGAGACAGGGTCTTGCTCAGTTGCCCAGGCTGAAAAGCAGTGGTACCATCATAGCTCACTGCAGCCTTGAATTTCTGGGCTCAAGAAATTGTCTTGTCTCAGCTTCTCGAGTAGCCGGGACTGTAGGCACACACCACCTTGCCCATTTCATTTTATTTTATTTTTATGGTAGAGATAGGGTCTTGCTATGTTGCCCAGGCCGGTCTTGAACTCCTGGGCTTAAGTGACCCTCCTGGCTCGGCCTCCCAAAATGCTGGGAATCTAGGCATGAACCGCTACACTCAGCCAAGAAACTTGCTGTTAAGGAGATCTACTGTTCACTTTGTTGAGGGCAATCAAGAGGGAAAGTTTTTTACACAAGATAGGGTCTTGTGTAAAAAGGAGGATTTACACAAAGAGGATTCCAGCCCTTTGTTAGAGCCAGCAATATAGCCTGAGAGGTGAAGGGTTTAATATCCAAGGAAATGACTGAATCAGGATTCTGATCAAGAACATCTTAGCACACCCTCAAGGTTCTACAAGTATTGAAAGTTCCACATGTGCTGTTGTGGTGATGCGCTCCTGAGAGAGAGATAATAAAGATATGCCCAGAGCATAGACTGTTTTCTTTGTGGTATGTCAGAGGACAGCGCACTTCTTTTTTTTTTTTTTTTTTTTTTTTTCTGAGACGGAGTTTCACTCATGTTACCCAGGCTGGAGTGCAATGGCGCGATCTCGGCTCACCACAACCTCCGCCTCCTGGGTTCAGGCAATTCTCCTGCCTCAGCCTCCTGAGTAGCTGGGATTACAGGCACGCACCACCATGCCCAGCTAATTTTTTGTATTTTTAGTAGAGACGGGGTTTCACCATGTTGACCAGGATGGTCTCGATCTCTTGACCTCGTGATCCACCCGCCTTGGCCTCCCAAAGTGCTGGGATTACAGGCTTGAGCCACCGCGCCCGGCGACAGGGCACTTCTTACCTAAGAGGGCTGATAAACATATTTTGGATTTTACCTGCAGCATTTCTGAACCATTTTAACCTGGGCATCTTTTAAGATTTTACATCTTGGAGAAACAGAGAAAGTTCACTTAAGAGGGTTCCTCTTTCTGTCGTGAACCATACATATTAAATCTGGATGGGTAGCAATTTAATCATTTCCCATTAAAGATAGCTGCATTCAAATGAAGCCACTAAAAAGTATGAAATACATCATGATCATTTAGGTATAAGAATTTCAGTCAGTGAGTATGCATCCTTGAAGAAACATTATATTTCATATCCTTAAAAATGTTCATATCCTTTGACTTTGTATACTTCTGCGTAAAGGAGAGAATCCCAAATATGTAAAAAGTTTTATGATGGCTGGGCATGGTGGCTTATGCCTGTAAGCCCAGCACTTGGGAGGCCAAGGTGGGTGGATGATTTGACTTCAGGAGTTCGAGACCAGCCTGGTCAACATGATGAAACCCCATCTCTACTAAAGACACAAAAATTACCTGGGCGGGGTGGCAGGTGCCTGCAATCCCAGCTTCTCGGGAGGCTGAGGCATGAGAATCGCTTGAACCTGGGAGGCAGAGGTTGCAGTGAGCCAAGATCATGCCACTGTACTCCAGCCTGAGCAACAGGGTGAGAATCTGTCTCAAGAAAAAAAAAGTTTTATGACAAATTATTTGCCAATACATTATTTTTAATGTTAGAAAATTGGTAAAAACCTAAAAGTACAATAATAGAAGATCTATTAATTATGATATTTTAACTAGGTGGGCTATTAGGCAGGCATTTAAAAAGATGTTTCTGAATAATTTATAACCCCCTAGAAAAAAACTTAATATGACATTGTTATTAAAAATGTAAGACATAGTCTGGGTGCGGTGGCTCACATCTGTAATCCTAGCACTTTGGGAGGCTGAGGTGGCCAGATCATGTGAAGCCAAGGGATTGAGACCAGCCTGATCAACACAGTAAGACCACATCTCTACAAAAAATAAGAAATAAAATTATCTGGGTGCAGTGGCAGATGTCTATAATCCCAGCTACTTGGGAGGCTGAAGCAGGAGGGTCACTTTAGTCAAGAAGGTTGAGGCTGCAGTGAGCTATGATGACACCATTGCATTTCAGCCTGGGCCAGAGAGCAAGACTCTGTCTCCTAAAACAAAATAAGGCTGGGTGCGGTGTCTCACGCGTGTAATCCCAACACTTTGAGAGTCTAGGCGGATGGATCACCTGAGGTCAGGTGTTCAAGACCAGTCTGGACAACATGGTGAAACCCCATCTCTACTAAAAATACAAAAATTATCTGGGTGTGGTGGTGTGTGCTGGTAATTCCAGCTACTTAGGAGGCTGAGGCAGGTGAATCACTTAAACCCGGGAGGTGGAGGTCGCAATGAACTGAGATCACGCCACTGCACTCCAGCCTGGGTGACAGAGTAAGACTCCATCCCAAAAAAACAAAACAAAACAAAACAAGCCTACAAAACATAAAATTGGATTTACAATATGATCACAACACATACACACACACACACACATACAAACCTAGGCTTAATTTTTAAAAAGCCAGGGGGAGGAAATAGACAAAAATGTTGAGAGGTTACCTTTGGTTATGAGAATACAAGAGGATTGGAATTATTTTCCACATGTATTTTACTAACTTTTTCTTTTCTTTTTTTTTTTTAAGACGGGGTTTCACCATGTCGGTCAGGCTGGTCTTGAACTCCCAACCTCAGGTGATCTGCCCGCCTTGGCCTCCAAAGTGCTTGGATTACAGGCGTGAGCCACCACGCCCAGCCTACTAACTTTTTTGTAATGAGCCTACTGTGGTTTCCTGTTGTTTCTTCCCCTGTTTTATTACCCTATGTAACTCTTAGAGCCCTGGGCAGTGGTGGCCTTGTGCAGAGCACCTGGGCTGTGGAGGATTAGTATAATACCAAAGGAATGGAGGCTGGAACTCACCATCCTAAGAACCCAAGGAAGACTCATCCAAAGCTAATATCAGACAATGCTTCTCATGTGAACTTTTGCTTATAATTTGTAAAAGTTACAGAAGTCCCTAGATGAACAACTAGGTAGCAGGCTTAGAAAACAACCTATCCACATTAAAGGAGCCTGAGGACAGAGCTCCAAGATCAGAGCATCTCCAGGAAAACAAACTGTTTGATATGTTTGACTCTAAAAGCCTGCAGTGAGAAGCTGTTGGAGTTTATGGGAAGAATTAGCAATAGATAAACAGAAAATCAAGCCAGGCACAGTGGCTCACGCCTGCAATATCAACACTTTGGGAGGCTGAGGCAGATGGATCACCTGAAGTCAGGAGTTTGAGGCCAGCCTGGCCAACATAGTGAAACCCCATCTCTACTAAAAATATAAAAATTAGCTGGGCATGGTGGCAGGCGTCTGTATCCCAGCTACTAGGGAGGCTAAGGCAGGAGAATTGCTTGAACCTGGGAGGCGGAGGTTGCAGTGAGTCAAGATTGCACCATTGCACTCCAGACTGGGCAACAAGAGTGAAACACCATCTCAAAAAAAAAAAAAAGAAAAAAACATTAAGCTAATTTAAAAATGAGGCAATTATTAAATCTGGAGAAAAACAAATGTTAAGGAAGCATAATTTATGTACAATACATGGCTCAGCAGTAAATGATACTTAGTCATATTGAATTAACTAAACATGTTTACATAACTATATTGGAAAAAAAGGGAAGAGTGGAACAGAGCGATTGAAGGATGCTAAATCGTTGTCTGCCACAATTAGAAAATAATAATAATTTTAGAAGATAAATTAAGATAAATTACTAGGTCGGTGCAGTGGCTCATGCCTGTAATCCCAGCACTTTGGGAGGTTGAGGCGGGTGGAAATCCCGTCTCTATTAAAATGCAAAAAGTAGCTTGGTATGGTGGTACCTGCCTATAGTCCCAGCAGGGAGGCTGAGGCACAAGTATCACTTGAACCCCGGTGGCAAAGGTTGCAGTGAGCCAAGATCACACCACTGCACTCCAGCCTAGATGACAGAGTGACTTTGTCTCAAAAAATAAAATAGGCTGGATGTGGTTATGCCTGTAATCCCAAAACTTTGGGAGGCTGAGGTGGGTAGATCACTTGAGGCCAGGAGTTCCACACCAGCCTGGCCAACATGGTGAAACTCCATCTCTACTAAAAATACAAAAATTAGCTGGTCATGGTAGTACATGCTTGTAATTCCAGCTGCTTGGGAGGCTGAGGCAAGAAAATTGCTTGAACCCAGGAGACAGAGGTTGCAGTGAGCCAAGATCATACTACTGTACTCCAGCCTGGGCGACAGAGTGAGACTGTCTCAAAAATAATATGTATAAAATAAAATAAAATAACATGATTAGCATATTACTTAAGAATGTGGGCTCATGGACCAGAAGGACAACTAAAAGTGTTGAAAATGGCTGTCTGTGGCGAGCAGTATTGGGGTACAAAGAGGATAGGGTAGGGCTGAGGACATTACAAACCTTGTAGAACTGCATAATTTGAATTTTTAACCTTATGCAGATTTCATGTTGATTAAAAAAGAAACCACAAAACCACAATGAGATACCACCCGATACCCATTAGGATAGCTACTATAAAAAGAAAAAAAAAAATAGAAAACAGTAAGTTTTGATAATTATGTAGAAAAATTGGGGCCGGGCATGGTGGCTCACGCCTGTAATCCCAGCACTTTGGGAGGCCGAGGTGGGCGGATCACCTGAGCCTGTGAGTTCAAGATCAGCCTGACCAACATGGAGAAACCCCATCTCTACTAAAAATACAAAATTAGCTGGGCGTGGTGGCGCATGCCTATAATCCAAGCTACTAGGGAGGCTGAGGCAGAAGAATCCCTTAAACCCAGAGGCGAAGGTTGCGGTGAGCTGGGATTGTGCCATTGCACTCCAGCCTGGGCTACAAGAGCAAAAAACTCTGTCTCAAAAAAAAAAAAAAGAAAAATTGGAACTCTTATTTTCTGTCGGTGGGAATGTAAAATGGTGCAGCCACTATGGAAAACAGTGTAGTGGTTCCTCAAAACATTAAAAATAGAATTATTATACAATCCAGCAATTCCACTTCTGGGTATATACACAAAAGAACTTAAAACAAGGTCTATAAAAAATTTTTTATAAATCCATGTTCATAGCAGCATTACTCATGTTAGCCAAAAGATGGAAGACAGCCAAGTGTCCACTGATAGGTAAAAGGATAAACAAAATTTGGTATATATAGGCAATGGCATATTATTTAGCCTTAAGAAAGAAATTCTCACACATGGATGAACCTTGAGGACATAATGCCAAGTGAAATAAGTCAGTCACAAAAAGGAAAATACTGCGTGATTCCACTTATGTGATGTACCTAGAGTAGTCAAATCAATAAGAGACAGAAAGTAGAGTTGTGGTTGCCAGGGACTAGGTGGCAGGGGAAAATGGGAGTTATTTAATGAGTACAGACTTTCAGTTTTGCAAGATGAAAAGAGTTCTGGAGATAGATGGTGGTGATGGCTGAAGAATGATATGAATGTCTTTAATATCACTGAACTGTACACTGAAAAGCGATTAATATGGTAATTTTTATGTTATGTTTATTTCATCACAATTTTTTTTTTTTTTTGAGACAGTCTCGTTCTGTTACCTAGGCTGGAGTGC